TAAAAAGATTTTTAAGTGAAAAGATAATTATTTTAAAAAATATTAAAATTTAACATTAAAAGTAAAAAAATTATTAAAATTTATATAAATATGATATATAAAATTTGTATATATAAAGAAATGCCTCATTCTTTAAAATAATAAAAGACACCAAAATTACAACCATAATTACAACTTCCAAACTACGGATGATAATTTCCTTCTACACTTGCAAAGCTCCACGAAGATCTGCGTCGTGGGGATGGAGGCATTTTTTTTCTTACAAAATTTTGTAGAAAATTTCCTCCAACTCGTAGAGACTCGTGGAGATTCATATATAATAAAAATATGTATAAATTTATTCATATATATATTTATAATTGTATTACCAATCGATTTTTATTTATCCAACTTATTCTAAATTGCACACCCTAATTCTTTTTTCAATTTTAATCTTCTCAAACCCAATTCAATAATTGGACTAAACCTAAACATAAACATGTGTGGCAGTTCATACCTTTTTTTTTTTTATGAACTTGTTGTTGGATCTGTTGAACTTACATGACAATGCGTATTTATTGCAATTATTTATTAAATATTGCTTTGTTATACTATACATTAATGTATTTAATTGTTTGACTTATTTTAAAATTTTTTTTTATTTAAAAAAAATTAAATTCTATATATTTTTTTTGAACAGGTTACAAATATGGGGGAAGGGAGATTCGAACCCCAACCCTCGGGTTGGAGAATGCATCTTACAAACCGACCTATGACCGTTGGGCCGTGAGGCTCCAGTGCAAATTCTATATATTTAACACTATATAAAGATTCTAAATACCCATCAAAATGCACATGGCCCTTGCGGCCTAGTGGCAATAGCCACTCGGTGCATTCCTTTTTCCCGGACTGAGTTCGAAACCCGCCCCTTGCAAATATGTTCAAAAAAAAAAAAAATACCCATCAAAACTTATCATTTTTCACTTGTATAGAGATGAAAACTATTTTTGAACCCGTCGAATTTTCATGAGAATCCCCATACCTGTCAGGAATGGGGATGGGGAAGGGTTCCTGCCCCGTGACTAGCCATTGCCGTCCCTATTTCAAACGCCTAAAAGCTTCACAAGTTTGAACTTGTCAAATTTAGGTAAAGTGAAAGATATTCTCCACTAGTATTACATAAGTGAAAGATATTTTCCACTAGTACTATATAGTCAACAATCAGATATATATGACTAATTCCCGTTAGAAAGTTTTTGTCAATTAATATTTGATAAATAAATTTCCAAAATTGGCCAATATAAACAAAGATTTAGCCACAAGAGAAAAGAAAAATGAATTATCTCCAACGTGTTTTCATCAAAGTAATCTCAAACGTCTCAAACTCCTTGCAGAAACTTTTGAAACCAAGTAGCCCACCCCCAAACACATTACCCATAGGCCCAAATCAACGGCCCAACTCACTCCCTCCAAATCCATCTCCGTGTCCGCACAATTTCCATCACAGTCACGCCCTCCTTCAATCATATCTCCGCCACCCTCTGACTCTCCACATCGGCTGCAACACAAACCGTCGAATTCCGTGTCCGCCTCCCTCTCCTCTGGGATCTCCTCCAGCTCGTCAAATCCCATCCTCCTGTTTTTCCTCCTCCTCCTCACCACCATCTCCACCCTCTCTCCCATCGCCACGTGCCCCTCCACGGCTACGCAAACTTCCGCCACCGCCACGTTAGCACCGGCCATATTACCGTCTCCCGTCTCGAGCGCGCACTTGCACTCTAATTTCCACTTTCCCCCCTCCTCCTTCCTGAAAATTCCTTTCAAAACCTTCTCCTCCATTGAGTACACCTCAAACCGGACTCCATCCCCGGCCCGAACCCGCTCTCTACTCCCGTATATTGCCTCTCCATTTCCAGTCCTCGCTTTCACGACTCGATGGAGCGTCACGAACGCAGACGAATCTGGTCTGATCTTCGATCCGGAAACTTCAAGCGCCGTTTCGTTGATACGTGGAAGGTAAAGGAGCGTCAGCGATTCTGGTAACGTCCCGTGACAAGTATCCAGCCCGGAGAACCGAACGAAGAAGGCTTTGATCTCCAAGAGATTTTCCTGGATAGAATACGAATTGTGAAAATCCGTCGATCTACACATTTTTAGGCTTCTGAGATTAGACTTTAGGGATTAGGAAGGAATGGATTGTTATTTATACGTGAGAGTCGAAATTATCTAACCCTTGAAGAAACGGTGGGCCGGCGGTCTTTCGGGGGCGACAACAGGTTTGAATGGAAATGGAGGTTGTGGGCAAGGCAGCACACGGTTTTATGATGACATGGACAAAAGGACAAGATCCTTATTTTCGGTTCTATACGAGTAATTAATTATTTTGGTTGTCAAACTAGAGATGAATTGAATGCTCTCCAAAAAATTTAAAAAAAAAAGAAGATAACTTAGCAGTGATGAAATTCATCACCCTGGAATGTTGGTCGGTAAGATATTTTCAATTAATTTATTAACAATTTATTAATAAATTTGAAATTTTTTGGTAGGTGAAACAAAGTAGGTAACAATCAATTGAAGATATTTCAAATTGAGTTACACAAGTTTGAATTTAAATTTCATCTTTATTAACTTTATTAGAAGGTTTAGAATCTTTAGATAAAAAATATATTGTAATTTTTTTTATCTTAAATTATATATTAAAAATAAATTTTTTTTATTTTTAAATTCATTTTATTTACATATTATATAATTCAAATTCAAAATTTATTATTTTTATTGAAAGAAAATTATTATCAAATTATTTAAATTATTAATAAGTTAAAAATATAACAAATATAAATTTTTACCATACGTTTAACATAGAGCAGCCATTTCAAGCAAGTTTAGTAGTTGATTCCATGCAAAGTTGGGGTAATCCAAGAATTAAGTGAATCCCTCGCATACTTTGTGATTATCTAGCTAAGGACATATTGTTTAG